TCTCGGCTCCTGCCGGTTACTTACTTGCCGCGATAAAAACGAGATTGACAATTAAGGCCGGTAGGTGCGACGAGAGGTCCCGCTGGAAAATATCTCGAGACATCTAGTTTGCTGTTCTCGGCCGTGAAAGCAGACGCGAGATCGGGGATCTGGTTTTTCGTGGAATAACGAGACACTGATCGAAGAAACGCAAATTCAAGCGCACGGTTCAAATTCAGCGCCAGAGGCAGTGGAAATAAATTCAAACAAAATGGCCAGGCTGTGGGGTGCAAAGCGGGAGAGACGAAACGAAGGTTCGTCGAAACTTTCTCGAAGGGAAAGTTAGTTTCTCACGATTAGACTTTCACCCCCTTCCCGGTATCACTACTTTCGTTTCCGCTAGCTCTAAACCGCCTCGAGGATCGAGATAGAGGAGCTCGGTCTGGCCGAATGAAATTTTAATTTTTGATAAGACGCTCCCTTGCCAAACTCACCCTTGCACCCTTTCTGCTCCTCCTTCTCCTCCTCCTCCTCCCTCTCTCTTTCTCTCTCTCTCTCTGAACTGTACCGTCTTCTCCTCTGCCTCTCTCCCGTGTAGTACGCCCGGTTAACGCCGGTTTAGAGATATTAAATATCACCGAAACACACAAGGGTCGGCGAAGTAGTGAAGATACTCTCGGTAGACCAGAAACGCACTGAGAAGCTTCTTGAATGTTTAAGGAGTGACTGCCGAGCGAGGCACGTCGAGAAGAAATGTGCATCCACGAACGGATAAATGGGCCTCGCTAGGCACGAATGTGCTGCCAAGTTATGCAAAGTTTGCCCAAGGAATTAATTGCCAAAGCTATGCCAAGATAAAGTGCTTTTAATTAACGGAATAATCAATAATCCCTCGGGCGACTAAAGCTTTTAATGAACAAACTTCTTGAACTGTACTTCGGGGAAGTACAAGTTCGGAGGTATGCGCGATATTTTTAGAAATTAATAGTTTAGTCCAGTGGTCGTAGTTTATCCCGATAAACCGAACGAGACAAATTGATCGTCTTTCGAACTTCGTCCCTTTGGGTGTAACCGATCTTAATAGATCTTAATTGAAGCGTTGATATTTCAGACGATTATCCAACGATAAACAGAATCTCTAACGTCGCCTCGTTCTGGATGAACGGCGATGAATTTCGCGCGTGTGCCTAGCCCCTCGTATCACCGATTCTCTTCGGTCCTCATCCGGCAGCTATCAATGTCGCGCTTTCTAATCAGCACCGAACTATCAGTCGGTGGTTGTCACTACAGGCATGATTGCGGTTCCACGACGATGCTGAGGCAGGATGCCGAGACGCTGCGTCAAAGTTGGAACCACGAGAGAAACGTGTTGTCTGTTAAACTAATAGAGGAAGAGACAAGGAGACACATACTGAGGAACAAAGAGACGGAGTAAGTAGGAGAGATAGAGAACGAGAAAGAGCAGAAGGTGAGAAAGGACGAGAGAGGAATAACGAAAGCGAGTTTTCCATAGTTAGTGTAGATACACGTACACTGGACGTACGAAAGCAAAATACAACGGAGAGGTGAAGTGACGTAGAGGGGTGATGACGGCAGAAAACGTGGTAGGGGGTTGCGTTACGTCATGTGTGAAATTACAATCACCCACCCCTAATGCGCTTGCCTTGACTCACCCCATTCTGTTCAGGTTACAATGGTGTGCGCATGCATGTACGTATACACCCGTGTGTTACGACTATTTCTATAAGTACGTGTTATTATTACGCGCATATAGTAGAGGGTTTATGTATATACCAGTTACACGGTCACGTTGTTTGGTATTCCGGGTATAGCTCTTATGCCTATGCACGAGATAATGAACACAGTGTCTGCAGGAAAGTGTGTATCATACGATGGGGAAGGTCCGGTGCATCGGCTCTGAAGAACCTTTGGTAAACTTTGACGTGTAAACTAGTAGCTAGGACACGACCCCGTGCTCGCTTCTACGAGCCAACTCCAAAATATAATCGTTTAACGTCCATGTACGCTTTCCAGCCGGACAGGTGAACCTAATAAACTGATACACCTGACGATACAATGGTTGTTAATTCGCTACCAGACACGTTAATTAATTACGTGTAACTTTATTTCTAGTTTACGCAATTACTCGCAATTTTTGTGTTCTTGAGTATTCCGAACACTGACCGATTGACGCACTGCAATTTGTTGTTGACGAACAATACAAATGATAATTTAAAACTGAATAGATCAGTTTACGGATTTTTTCGAGAGAATGAACAGAAACTAAGCTAAATTCGATAAATGGTTTGGTAGTTGGTTAATAATTGTATTCAGACGAACGGATGCGGACTATGAGTCAAGAATGGTCAACACAAATAAGATTAATAAATATTAGAGGGACAGAGATACTCGAGGGATGCGTGTGATTTAAAGAGGTTCGTGCTGCTGAGTGTTTTAATAAATAAATTGGCCGCCGAAGTAGCAGCAGACAAAATTACTTGGGAAATTGTACTTTTTCACGAGTCGACGGGTAATCGTTTCTGTCCGACATACCGCTCGGGATAATTAACACGTCTGGAATCCTCGAATATTTGTAAATGCCACTGCCAGAGTCAGTCATGAACAAAGTAGAAAGCCGTATGAGATCTAGTATTTCAAAGCTGAACGTGCGTTTCACGGAATTTTTTTGCTTCAACGTTGAATGATAAAATTTTTAATGGTCCGTCTAAATGGACATCTTAGTATCAGAGCATAGCGTTTTCTTTTCCCTTATATATATATTCCACGAGTTAATATTTTAATTTAATATAATTCTCATTAAATTTATATTTATCGTGCATTGCGTTGAATTCATTATTAACTATAGATATTCCTACATATCCGGTAAATATCATTTCTTCATTCTAGCATTTTCACTGTGAAATAATGAAAAATTCAAATATTCCAAGGTATTTCTTTCTCTCTGTCTGAGATGCCGTGACGTTAAGTGGACGACAGCCTTTAATCACGATGAACCAAACCCGTCGAGTGCACCACGAGTTCAACAGTCTACAAAAATATTGCGAGTAATTACGAAAAAAAGGGTGAAAAAGATGGGATCATTTAAATTAAACCAACGTATATGGTCCTGGTATAATTGCTCCGTGACTCCTGATGATCTAACGAAAATTTCCAATTCAGACCTGACGTCTGACGCGGACGAGCTAGCCTCGTTATTTTTATGGTATTTGAATTTAACACCGTTTAACCCCGCCCTTCGAGAGATCGCGGTCGGATTTGCTTAATCGAGGAACGACGCGATGCGCGATATCCAGCTCCAGCTTCTTGCAAGTCGCGCTTTTACGAAATATTATACGGTTATTTATTTTCATTGAGAAAGAAGAGAAATAAAAAAGCACGATGCGAGATACGCGTAAATTGCGAGTACACGTAACCGTTCGTATTGATTTTTGCACGCCTGTCGTAGGAAGCGTGTGCCACGACCCTGCAACTCACTTTTGTGACCCTCCCTTCTGGCAAGTACACAATTACACATACCGTTCAAGCCACGCTTCCTGAATCCATTGTCTATTATAATCATTAACGGGATTTCGATTATCCGGCAGAACGCCTCGTCGCTGCACACGTAAGCTTTTCCATTTTCTGATTGTTAGAGATTTTATCGATTATTCGCTCCCTCGTCAAAGGCTCATTCTACGCCAAATGCTTGCTGCAGGATTATCACTCAACAATGGTTACACCTGATTTTGTTGTAACAATTGGATCGTTCGGAAAGTTTTTAATTCTAGTGGCATTCAAATGTCATACACACGTGCCATGTTGCAACGATTCTGTTGGCTTCTTTTCCTCGTTATTAGAATGTCTTATGCGAATTAAATATTTAAACAATCTCCGTGATGTAGTAACATTTTTTTAAAAATAACCTCAAACACGTATCGCCCGAATAACCTCAAAATATTATATTTTTCTCATGTCATATTATTAAAAGTATAATAAAGAATATAATAGAAATTATATTTCTCTAAGATGAGTAAGTGATCTTAGGAATTTTCAGTACATTCTCATACGAATCGTAAAGACGTGATCAAATCGGAGCAATCGATACAAAACATCTGAGATTACTCACCCATTCATGTCTTCGGTTGTTTTCTCTCGGGAAGCAAACAGAACGCTGCTCTCGAGAATTCCGACTTGCTCAACGTTTTAGATGTACGTTTCCATTCCAGTCGCATTGAATCCCTCATGTTGTAAAATCATATCAAATACTACGGTATTTCGACGAGAGTTTGCACAATAATACCGGACCATATACATACATATATCGAGCGCTGTTATCGTAGTAAAAAACCGGTACGTCAACAACTTAGTCGGCACGAAATTATATTTACACGTTCACCACCGTTTATGCAACAAATAAAACAAAAATACGCGACATATCGATCTATTTTATATCGTGCAACCGCCATATTACGATCACTGACACCGTAACTTTTTGAGCTACTAAATACATCTCGAGCTTCTCAAACGACACTAAGAAAACACAAGTACAAGGAACGCAGCGGCATTTAAAAATTCAATTATCTATTTTACGAAGCGAATTATTCTCTGTGAGAGCGATATTCATCAAAATTCAAGTAATTAGCAATACTGCGTATGACTAACAAACCGCGCCGTTTGAACTTTCATCCAACTGGTAGCCAATAGTCAACCACGGATGACTCTTCTAAACAACCATTAAAAACAATGATGGTTAACGAGTGTTTATTTTCGCAAGGTACGTACATACGTGTATGGCGCATGCATACGGAAAACGGTGGTGGAAATTTCGGAAAACCGTTTCGATAGTTGTTACGAGGGTAATCGTAGAAATTAGCGAACAATACGGACGAAAACCAATATTCCAGGATGTTGGCTGTTGGTGGGGATTGGAGGGGGTGGCCAATAGCGTTTGCGCGGGAGAAAGGTACGAAATGGGGGGCACATTCGTGGAGGGATCGTAGGAACGCGGTCGTATCGTCGCTCGGCAGCGCCGCGACGCCCTCGAGGCGAACTAGACGCAATACTTCGTGCTCGTCGCTGTTCAGACTTTTCGGCGTTTCTAACCTTGTTCTGGCGCTGTATGTTGCTGCCTTCGTTCATACGTATAACGTAGTGTCGTGCGCTGTCCTTTTTGCTCTTCTTTCTTACGTACGTTACCCTTGTTTTGTGTTCCGTTAGTTTGAGGTGAACCGTTCGACTAGTGAGGAAAACGAAAGAAAGAAGAGTCCACCGAGACGCGAGACGACTGCTCTGTTTGCCTTGCCAACAAAATACGTTAGATTTGCACGGTAAGCGTCCTTCCTTTTCCTTGGTACGAGCCTTTTCAAGGTCAGTCGCGTCTTTCGCCATCATTTTCGATAGCTGTCACTCGTCCGCGGCCACGAACGTTTGAACGTGCCTCTTCGAATCAACTCGTTCTATAGGTCCATTCGCGTGCTGCGTGTTTCGCGCGAAATTTTCGAAGCAAAAATTCTGAATCTGACGATGTCGTAAATTACACATTGACGAGCAATCGCATTACAAATGATCGACATTTCTCGTGACACGAGCAAGTTTTGCTCGTTATTAGGTTGCGAGGTCAATGAGAACATCGGCGTTTAATGTCGCGCGAATCGGTGTTCAAATTTTGTTCGAACGACGCGACTGACAATGGAACGTTTTACATTTTGCTAATAGTGAATATTTCGCGAATGGCGAAGCATTGCGGTGTCGTATAAACACGACACGAGTTTAACATTACCCTGATTTGCTATTTTTATATTACCATACATTATATGACAAAGGTAAGAAGCCAGTTCTCACCCCAAAAGAGAAAACTATTTTGCTATAGATGGCAATAGTGCGATTTTTTCTGTATGCCCTTGACACAGTTAATTCGCTTGGACAGTCGATAACACGAACTGTCTACAGTTTTCAGAACACACTTACGGTAATAGAGTAATCTTGGATTCAAAATAGTGTATACTAAAAAATTTCAAATTTTATGCATTTTTATCGTGACCGACCGATACCGTAAGTTTTTGTGATATTTTTCTACGGTCAGATTTCACTACTTACGAAGATTGCAAGTAACGACGATCGAGCTACGATCGATCCTCTTGAATAATATTTAAAGACATAGCCAAAGGTCGGCCAAACTGGCTGTTAAATTTCCTGACACGTTTTTCTCCCTTGAAATTCTTCCACGATATAATCTAGAGTTTACGGTTCATGAAACACCATACCTTAGTGACACCTTATCTTCGTTACTTCTCATCTACACGCCTTCGCTGCATAATATCCTACATAGCATTCTGGCGTTTTTCGCGAAATATTTAGCCATCAGTCGCAGGTCGCGAGACTAAACAAATCGTTTAGAAAATAACTCCAATGACGAGATCGCGATGCCGACAAAAAGAGAGAAACGACAGAGGGTGTACAACCATAGTTGTCGCATCCCTTCAGTAGACCTTTTTTCCTTTTCATCCTCTTGTTTCCATTCTCCCGAAGCGTCGAATGTGTATCTCGCACAAACAGCAGAACCGCGTTCTCTCTTTCTCCGTGCATTATTTTTTGCTCTTCGTTCTTGTTTCTTTTCTCCTTTCTTTTTTTCCACTCCTCCTTTATCGTGGCACCAGGGGCGGAAAGACTGGCCACGGATGTTTTTTCTTCCCTTGCTCTTCTCCACCGTTTCTTCCCCCGCTTCCCCCGTTCTCACTCTCGTCCTCTCTACATTCTATCTTCTTTCTTCTAGGCTTTTCCTTTGTCTCCCTGGAAATCTTGCGGTAGTTATGCGACGTTCAGCCCAGCCGCTTGGCTGGTGGGGTTGGAAAAAGGGGAAGGGGGTGACTCGAGTTTGTGTAGGTGGGGGACATCGGAGTTGAGGGTTGAAGGAGGAGAGGATACGGTCCTGAACGTGACTTGGATGCAATATTTAAAAGCGGCACAACGTCAATACTCCACTCTCTCCTCTTTCTCCGTCTACTGCTGTTACCCTTGGCTTCTTCTTCGGCGACATCTTTGCGATCCCCTTTACGATCGGTTACAACAAGACGATCCTGAATCGGCCGCTCGGTCTGACCTTAACCCAGCATCATCCCCTTGCCCTATGAAACAGACCCTTCGGTCCGTCCCGAAGGGAAGCCAGCCTAATGTTTCTTGAAATTCGTCGCTTCGTCCCTCGGCGCACTAGTGACCGGTGGCCACTACTTTACTAAATTCCTCTCCGTTTAACTTGCATACTCTTCGGTAAATTTTATCCAGTTGTCTATATTACACGGGGACTAGCAGTAGGAAAATTAGCAAACAGCGAATTTTCGTACAGTTACGTCCGCGCTTCGATGAGGGACATAATATATAAGAACGCGAGCGATTTATCGCACGGTAATTCATTCAGGATGGCGCTTAAATTTTAGATCACTCTCGGCCGAGAGTTATTGCCGTGCTCGTCTTCGCTAATATTGCCGCTTCGGGAATATTTTATCAGTTTTTGACGCGGTCTGGTAATTTATTTCTAATGTCTTCCTCCACGGTGGTCGGACGAAGGCGAATACCGGGGCGAAAGAGAGAAAGAGAGAGAACGGAAAGACGAACAAGCGGCGTGATATAAAAGGGCGAGAAAATGCAGGAAGTTATGACAATTATGAGAAGGGGATGAAGAACTGTCTAGGTGTGCGACGGCTCGTGAAATGAAATTGGGAACGAGGGACGATCGTTTATAAGTTCGACAGATGGAATTTCTCTTTTCATCCGTTTCTTTTGCTCCTGTTCCATTTCCCCCCTTCTCTCCCCCTCTTTATTCGATACGGAATTACGGATCACCCGGTAAATGGGCTTTCTATGATTCAATCAAGACGCCCTAACGAGCAAAATACACTCGATTTTTGGGGACGTTAACGAAAACAAAAATCTCGATGTTCATTCGATTATACGAGCGATTAGTTTTCTTTGCTGGAGATCTTTCCCCCTTTTTTCTTTGATCACGCGTGATGTCTCGTTCTTTGCTCGCCAAGTCCATCGGGAAATTTTCAAGCGTCGCATGCGGGTCACGGAAGGAAAGATCCTTGCGCTGTACGTCTGTGTACTGTGTTCTAATTAAAAGAAACCTATGAAGTTTGTCCGTTTCATACTTTTACCTCTTTTCTTTTCGAAACTTTGCTTCCCGCTCTTACTCGAATTTCACTCTTTTGAAACATCATCAAACTTCCTTTTCCGCTTGTCTTGCTTAATTAGCTGTAATTTAATCTTGTTCGATCGTCGAACGTGTTATTTGCGTTTCCAATATTCTCATTTATTCTTAAATTATGACTCGGTTTTATTTCATGTTTACACGAAAGATATCCATATACGTTGCGGTAAAATGAATCTTATAAATGCAGCAAAATTCTCGTTTTCATTAATACAGCTCACTCTGTTGTATATACATATGTGTATATAGCTAATACGTATCGAGTATGCTTCATTATAAAAAATATTGTACCCGTCGATTATATTACACTTGCATTATTTCTCAGAATAATTAAAAACTGTATTCCGCACTTGTACGGTAATTAATTCTAAAAAATACGAACACTTTATTACCTATTACATTGTACGGGCTAACAATCTTGGAAAACTAGTTTTAGCATTGTTATCGTATATTATAATCAATGATAAGACTCGCGTAAATGTCGTACACACGTTTCTCCATTCGTTGATAGTTAATTACGATTACAAAACTGATTACATCACACGGACACGGTAAACGTCCAAGAAACAAATCTCCGATGACCTTTATGAAACTCAACTTCTCGGAAATTTAAAAACTCTGTTCCTTGAACGAATCGCTCTTTCTCCAGTGGATACGTAAAGTAGCAGATAAAACGCTAATAAAACTCTCGCTTTGCACCCTCTTGCGCGCAATCCCGAAAATTTAATCCGCGAGATCAAATCCCCATATTTACCAAGAAAACACGGAGGAACGGGAAATTATTTTCAGGAGATAATTTCGGAGGATCTCGGGAATTATTTGAAGAAGCTATTAAGAAAGCTCGAGGACACGTAATTAGTCGACGTAAGATCGTTTCCCTCCTTCGACACGCAACAGAACGTGTTTGAATTCCATCCCCATTCTACGGCCACTTTCTTTCGTATCTCATTTCATCCCCGTGCGCTTGTCCTTGACTTTCTCACCCTTACCGCTTTCAGATACCACGTTCTATCCCGATCTTAATTCGCGAAAGCAACGGTCGATGAAGGGCGTGTCTGGATGTTCAGTGAGCAGGAGGGACAATTTTCTATGCTTACGTAATATTCGGCTATGCCGAAGTTGAATATTTCGCGAAAAACACAGAGATGGCATTTAGCGTATTTTTCGACGTCTTTGCCGCCCTATGAAATTCGTTTTCTTCCGTATTCTTCTCGTTCAATCGTCACGTTTTTACGTATTCACGACCACAGGCTACACCCTCGATATTACAAGTTTCGAGTTGGTAATGTCGGTAATGAATATTCGAGCCTATTCGCAACGCTTTACCCAAGGACTATCTGTAATCAATATTTGCGTGTCGCTTTCACGTACAGTGCTAACTACTATTGACCGAAATGCCACTCGGTCTGAGCATCGTTTCCTTCGATAATGACCCTATAAGGATTCCGCAAGGGATCCTCCAATCTATAGATTTACACTTAATTCTGATACGTTGGCTATTCTGGGAGCACCGTTTATACCGGTAACTGCTCCGTGACGCTGGATTTATGAACTTGCCGCGCTCCTATTAAATTCAATAATGGAATCAGAGGGGTGGGGGGGGGGAGGATGATGATTTACGAAAGCTGTAGCCCGCGAGATACAACTTGCGACCCGTGGTTATAAAAATCCAGTTTCGTTAGAAGATTTAACAGAGGATTAGAACCACGTCGGAAGAAGAATTCATTTGTTCGCTATTAAAGTCGCGTGTCGTCAAATAAATTTTCCCGCGCCAAGGCCTCTACACGCGACCGTGCAAAATGAGACACGAGTGAAATATTTATTTTAACGCCGCTGTAATTACGTATTGCGTTTTAGTAGCCGGTGTAATTTAGCCGTTGAATGTACTTACGTCACGGGAAGAGTTTACGAGTCGTTCGTTTCGAGCGACTAGCGCGAGGAAATTACAGTGAAAAGAGATGATTTAAAGTAACAGCGCGGAGTTGCAGGCCCGGGAAATTCGCTCGAGCAATACGGAGATTGAAAAACCTTGCGTGAAAAGAGAATCTTGCGTCCTTGGCTCCGTGAAAAAAAAAAAAAAAAAAGAAAACGTAACGAAATCATTCGCGTTGCGCGTGAATA